AACTTATGTGGAAACATCCTCAGGTAGTGTAGATTCAAATTTGTTCAAATCATGACCCCCGGGGGTAGGGCGGGGCCAAAATGGCCGACCAAAGTTTTACATAGAAAATTATAGGAAAATTCTTAAAAAATCTTCTTCTCAAGAATAGCAAAGCCATAATTGATCATATTTATATGGAAGCATCCTCAGGTAGCGAAGATTCATATTTGTTCAAGTCATGACCCCCAGGGGTAGGGCGGGGCCAAAATGGCCGACCACAGTTTTGCATAGAAATATATAGGAAAATTCTTTAAAAATCTTCTTCTCAAGAATAGCAAAGGCATGAATGGTCATATTTATATGAAAGCATCCTCAGGTAGTGTAAATTCAAGTTTGTTCAAGTCATGACCCCCTGGGGTAAGGTGAGGCCAAAATGGCCGACCAAAGTTTTACATAGAAATATATGGGAAAATTCTTTAAAAATCTTCTTCTCAAGAATAGCAAAGTCATAAGTGATCATATTTATATGGAAGCATCCCCAGGTAGTGAAGATTCAAGTTTGTTCAAATCATGACCCCCGGGGGTAGGGCGGGGCCAAAATGGCCGACCACAGTTTTACATAAAAATATACGGGAAAATTCTTTAAAAATCTTCTTCTCAAGAATAGCGAAGCCATAACTGATCATATTTATATGGAAGCATCCTCAGGTAGTGTAGATTCAAGTTTGTTCAAATCATGACCCCCGGGGGTAGGGCGGGGCCAAAATGGCCGACCACAGTTTTACATAGAAATATATAAGAAGATTCTTTAAAAATCTTATTCTCAATAATAGCAAAGCCATAATTGATCATATTTATATGGAAGCATCCTCAGGTAGTGTAGATTCAAGTTTGTTCAAATCATGACCCCCGGGGGTAGGGCGGAGCCAAAATGGCCGACCACAGTTTTACATAGAAATATATGGGAAAATTCTTTTAAAAATCATCTTCTTAAGAATAGCAAAGCCATGATTGGTCATGGGACTATTTTTGGATTTAAACTTTTCAATAAACCAATTGCTACTTTTTCCTAGCCACAGTGCTCAGGTGAGCGATGTGGCCCATGGGCCTCTTGTTTAACTTGAGCACTCTATGTTGTGATGAAAGAGAAAGGTGTCTATTGATAAGGATTTCAAGCCAAGTAATATTCTTAGATATTAGTGGGAATCATCATGAATCCTTGCTGATGTATGAAGACTGGCAGTATAGAGTAAATTGTTGATGCATGTATGTATTACAGATTAGTATTTTTGGCATTGCAGGTAATATTTATTCCTAAATTGGCTGGTGCTTATGTAGCAGAACTGTTGATCCATTCCCACAGATTTACGCAGGATAGAGCGACAGGATCTACATCTTACCCCACAGTGGTCACAATCCAGGCCATAGCAGAAAAACCCAAGATTGAGGTAACTTAGAATGAACCACACTGGTTTAACTGTCTAGACTTAGAGAAATGTCTTAGTAGATGCTCTCACAGTGTATCAATTTCATTAGAGGCTGTTATAAGCATGTAACACAATGTTAAATTTTGACAGGTCCATGGGTATGGTTTGGAGAACCGGGTGCTGAACTTTGGGCAGGTGACCTGGGGGAGCTGTAAATTCCTGACCCTGGGGATTGTTAATTACGGACAAGCCTCACTCCCACTCAGGCTCTCCATCTCTTGTGTAAGTATAGGATATTTTAAACTAAAGCAAGATGTTTTTAATGTGTATGTAATAATTGTTGACATGTGCATGGGAAAGAATATAAATAATGTTTACCAAAACTGTTATGTTTTATGCATGAATCCTATGCATGAACCTTTCATGTAAACTTGTCTTCATCCTCTCTTCATTTTAACTGACAGAGGACAGAAGGAATGTTTTTAATATACATGGTGTTAAAATACAGAAATGTTAATAAAATTTTGATATATAAAAAAAGGTTCATATTTCATCTTGTTCACTGAATGGTTTTTGCTTCAGGAAATTACTTTATTCTCTGAACTATATGATTGATTTAATTAACAAAGAATGAGGTAGACTAAAGGCCCCTTTGTGGTCCATACTGCGTATGCTATTAATTGAATTCATTATTGATTTTGATGTAAGTATTATTTTTGTTCAGAAATACAAACTATATTTCAGCTACTGTAGAAGCACAAATATTCGTGGGGGATTTAATTTCGCTTATTTCGTTGTTAACAATTTTCCACGAAATTAAATCCCACACGAAAATTTATATGACTATATATTGAATAGGGTTACTCTCAAAACAACGAAATTAAATGCCGACAAAACTATTTTTTGTGACAAATCAGCGAAATTTTATCCCCACGAAAATTTGTGCTTCTACAGTATTTAAACTTTTATTTCAAAAAGGGTCTTTACTATACCTTGTTCTTTAGTGGTACCAGCTAATGTGATTGATACCTTTGATCTGACAAGAACTGTTTATCTTAATGATTATAATTAAACCTGCTGTTGCTGGTGATTTTCAGACTAAGAACCTTGGCGTTGTAGGTATCTTTAGTGGGTGCTGCACTTCTCTGTATTGTACACTCATCATATTTACCTAGCATTTCATTGTATACTTCCCTTCCCTTGTCATATTGTGTGATGCGTAACTGAATTTTGAGATTCTTATATTCTAAGATTTGATTAAAATAAATGCTTCAGCAGCTTTGATGTTTATTTCTCTGTACTTTTCCTGATAAATTATCTTATAGTTTTCAAGTTAAAAAAACGTTCATAATTCTTGTACAACTTTTACATATGAATAGCAGTTCATTAATTTATGTCTATTGATGGAACATTTCATTCAGATTTTCCTTCTTCACATTTTTTTTTTCATTTTAAGGTTGTCTAATCCAACACAAACTTGAGAAGCACTAAAAAAAAATACATATTAAGCAAATTTTCAAATAAAGAAATGACTAATAACACACAAACTAACAATTTATATTTAACTTTATGGAGAGTGTCAATGTTTTTCCTAACCTTTGTCAGCATTAACTTTTCTGTCAATTAAAACTGATTGTAAGTGATATGGCAATTAATAATGAATTTGTGTGTATCTCTGACAGAATAACATCCCTTGGCATTGCTTCTCCTTTGATCGTAATGGACAGAATTCCACTCTGGGAGATATTTCCATCATCTCTAGGAGTAGCCGCCCACAGTCGCCTGCATTAGGAAAGACAGTGGTCACACTGTGCATCCCGGGACGGTCAGCAAAGGATTCTGGGATCACGGAACAGGAAGTCAGAGTCTGGTGTCGACCACCAGACAAGAGAATAGACAGAGGTATCTTATCGTACTTTTAATACACCCCTAAAGTTGAATTCTGTTTAACATTTCCTCTGCTTTTCTGATTAATGAGAAACTTTTATGCTAGCTTTAATTGTAAATTGTGAACTCTATTGATTTTTTTCACAGCATTGGCCCAGAATCCTCCTGATGAGATGACGGCACGGATTGACATTGATGTGGACACGCCCACTGCTAATATCCCTCCCCTCAGAACAATAGATTTACAGGCCATAGTGGGGGTAGCGAGACTTCACATCCCTAAATACCTGGAAATGCTCAAGTTAGAATCCACAGTCAGACAGGCTGCTCGGGATTCTATAGCTTTGAAGAACTACGGGAATATAGATCTAAATGTCTCTCTAAGTATTCCGGATCATGAGGATGTTTTCAGAGTCCGTCCAAAACAAATCACGATCCCTCCAGGACAGGAAAACGAGGTGGTGGTTGAGTTCTTCCCCTTGGAATCTGAGATAAAAGCACTAGAAAGGTAATTTTATATTATATTATATTTCCCATTAAACATGAATGTTCTTCAATAAAGGAGCAAAGAAATGAGCGTATTTTGTGAACAGAGCTTTCATTAAAGGAAGGGCTATACATGTACAAACAAGACTTATTTCTAAAAATTGTGAAAGGATACACTTACAACTCGGAGAAAAATGTTCAATAAAAGCAGAACAGCATTTATGTACCTATCTATGAAACAAACATTTCATTATCAGTGGTCTTCATTAAACTTATTCTGTGTAGCAGGTCTTTGTTCTATATATTTGTTGATTGTTGTTACAGTGTTCTGTTGATGAACGTGGAGCCTGATGGACCACTGTATGAGCTCCCTGTTCTGGGTAGTGTGGTGACCAAGAGACAGTCCACTCCTATAGTCCTCAGTGACCGATGCTTCATCTATTTTGGTGGTGTGGGTATTGGAAAAGCTATGTAAGCATGTCATTTTAAACAGATTCTGTAATGTAAATCTGTGTACTTAAAAATCATGAATCGAAGCACATAAAATTTACAGTTTGTCTCTCTCTCCCATCTTTCCCGGTTTTAAAATTTTAATGCATTTACATTTTTAATATATCATTGATTACTTAATACCTAAAAGTGTTTATCATTCCAGGGAAAACAAGTTCCGCTTGAAAAATCAAACACAGTATCCTCTGAAATTAAAATTGGAAGTTCGAGATGAAGCACACGTTTTCAAGGTAAAATATTCCCTCTTGTATCAGATGTGACTTCTGTTACACTTTGTTCTTTGAAAATGGAAAAGCTTTGTGAAAATACAGTACATTGAATCATTTTAAAACATTTTTAGTTACACGTGTATATTTGTATATATTGAGGAAATGTGAATGTACCTATATATATTTTATGTATAACATTAAAACTTTGTCCTTTCAGCTGAGAACCTCCTCTATTCAGTCTAACAGCCTGACAGAGATCAGAGACGTCATTATTCAGCCTCTGGAGACCTACCCTGTATATGTCACCTACTCCCCACTCACAGCGGCACTGAACTCCGGCAAAGTTGTCATCAAACCTTATGATACGGCGTACAAGTTCTCGGTAGGTCATTTTAGATCTAAAAAGTGAAATTCATATCAGAAACCCACCGTGTCCAATGAATATACTGTAATCCAATTATTAATTGCAACAGCTTTTGAAATCTATCTGAGACAAGCAATTATCTTGATTGAAGAAATATTTTACATGAATAAACAAGTTTTATTTGTACAACATACTATTGTCACAGTTATTTACTGTATATGTGAGGTGTAAGATGAAATCATATTTATTTGAATATCGTAGATCCCTGTGTCTGGTTATGGAGGAGTTGGTAAGCTGGTAGTGGAGGGAGCCAGTATTGCTGACATGAACAGATACTGTCTGGACATGGGGGATATATCACTAGGTCAGGAGACAGGGGAAAAAATCATCGTACGGAATGTCGGCTCAAGACCTGTCTATGTCAAACTGATGGCCTACACAGGTTTGTTTGATTAGAAAATGTTTCCACATTTATCTTTTGGAGTAGAGGGAATAATTCCCCCCAAAAGAAGAAGTGAAACCACAGTGTGATGTACTTACAGTTTTACCTCTGTGTCATTTCAGGGTCAAATTGCAGAAAGGATAATATCTCTAGTAAAGTGTTGGTTGAACCCAGTGAGTTTGTCCTTGAACAAGAGGGAACAAAGGTATGATTATAACTTTCATTAGATCACAGTTTAGATCAATGAACTTTGCTATCTTGAATACATAAACATGCAAGTATCTTAAATACCATGGTTTCATAGAAGTTATGTGGAGTATCAATGACTTTTCCTTATGAATTTTACCCCCAATGGCTCAAATCCCTCTGATACATGTACTGTAGAAGTACTTTTTTCCACGTGGTATTAATTTACACTATGTGTTTTTCCAGTCACAAATTTTCCGCGGAAATTTGTCTAAGCCTACTTAATATAAATGTAATGCATACAGTGACAGTCTGAAGAATCCACGTAATTTTCTACCCGCGGATTAAACAGAAATTGAGATTCCGCGGAATTATGAACCCGTGGAAAAAAGTATGTCTACAGTATTTTGAAGGGTTTTTTCTCGGTTCCATTAAGTTTGAGATATTGAAGTTGGACTGTATACATATTTACACAAGTAATTTTGTTTTATTGTCAGTCTGTGATAATTGTGTTGAACCCCTCTGATCGAGAGACATCACTGTGTTCCAACAGTAAACAGATTGTGTCTACAGTAGTGGCCTTCTATGGCGATGAAATCTCCAGGCAGCGATTTAGAAGGTTATATTACAAGTTTACATCAACTAAATGTCTTATTATTTAACACGATTCATGAATTCTAAAAGATAATAATTTTTTAGACCAACAAGATAGTTCTTTACTAATCCTTTTTTCTTATTAGGGCCTTGAGTTCTTCAGCAAAGCCATACAAACCAAGCTCCTCTATTGATTCATTATCTCTGTCACTCAATCTGAATCACAGCTTCCCAGACGAGAACTTGGTTCCAGAATCCCAAGGTATTATCTTAAATAGAATTAATATATAGATGCTTCTCTATTGGTTAGTTTATTCATTTCCTTTCTGCCTTATTTTAAAGTTTTACTTTACTCTTGCTTTTATAATTTGATAGTCTTAATAGTCTTCATAGAGGATTTGTTTCATTTTCAGTGCCCCAGGAAGTGAACATGAACTCTTTGGTTGACACATTTTACAACACTATGTCCAGGCTATATATAGCTCTTGTGGGAGCACCCTCAGAATTTTCCCTGACTAAAACTCCCCAGATCCACCATGCTGGTAAATCTCCCATTAGTGCCAAGAAAGGTTTGAGAACCAGTGGTAGTCTGACTGGAATACCCTCCAAAGATCCTAACAGGTAGATGGGACTTCTATTCATTTTGTTAGTATAGTTTTAATTCTTAGATTTATATTTCTATGTTAAATCATATTTATTCATATGCATTTCCAGTCTTAAATTATCAAGTTACAATTCTGTAGTGTCAAGGAATTCATATATAATAATTTCTGTGTAAAGAAGATAAAATAAGGACTGAAGTAGCTGCAAACAGATTCAACAGTGATAGATGAATTTCTTTGCAGGTGTATATCTCCCCATAGTAATACCACCCCTCTACACAACTCCCCTCTGTTTGTCCCAGAGGAAGATGACAAAGACTGGACAGTGAAACCAACACAACTCATCTTCCGAGTCTCCAGTAAGTCTAGGTTTCTTCATTAATTAAGAGAGATATAAAAGCTTTAGTAATTGTAAACATTCAAAGAAAATGTGACCGTGTTCAAAATTTTTGCTAAGGAAAATGATATAGTAAAATACAACTTTTGTAAAAGGAATTTGGGCTTTATTTACATGTAATTTCTTTCAGAAGATGGAAAGCTTCCAATCCTGAAGTTTCAAATCAGTAACTTTCAAAGCAAATCAATGTTGTAAGTACATTATTAGAAAATAATTATATTTTAAAGTATTTTTTCTTGCAGAACTCTCTTTGAACATTGTAGTTTTATTGCTATATATCTTTAGATTTGTCAAATGACAACAAATTCATTGTTGAATCATAAAAGGGCAACGTAATTTTACAGTGACAAAATTGGTCAACATGCTCATAGATTATATAGCAGTTTGTACAGATATTAATTCACGTAATTACAAGCATAAACTCTAAAATTACAACACTTTTAACATACTTTCAATATTTATTTTCTGTAGATATGAGTTGACCTGGCCAGGCCAGAAATTAAAATTGACTCCAGAGGGCGGTGTTGTAGGACCTAAGTAAGTACATGTGCACCAATCTCACTGAATTAAAATGCATTGAAAACTTTAATTATACATGTGTGTACATGTACATGTACTTTGTTGCAATATATAAATTCTTTATTTTCTTTAATGTACCAGGGACAAAGTGACAGTGTGCATCAGTCCAAGTCCAACTGTGTACAAGTTAATCAATGAACTTCCATGGAGCGGATGTGTGCATGTCTCCTGTGGCCAGAAAACCAAGGTTACTTCATTACATTACATATATAACAAAGAGAAAAAAATCCTCACATTCAAATAAAGAGATTAATGTATGAATTTTGCAATCATGTGTTACTTTGCTATTACAGAAGGTGCAGGTCCAGATACGGACGGAGCTGGAGGACAGTCAGCCGACCCTGACCCAGACCTTGGTCCCGGTGTTCAGACCCACCGTGGGGCCCACGATCAGCCTGCCCTACGAGTCTAGTGTAGGGAGCATGATGCAGACCTCGGCTCATAAGATAGAGTTCCCCATCACCAAAGTAGGAGAACAGTCAGGTAATGGAACTCTTCTAATAATATATCTGGATATTTTTGTATTGAATTGGATTTTCAAAAGCAATGATTCAAAGAAAGAAAACTGAAAAGTATAGAGAATGCATGTTCATGTTCATTTTTTTTACAATGTTAAAATTAATTTCTCAGTAATGAAATATTTGTAGAGACCAGCTTTGAGCTGACTAACACCTCTGATGAACCCATGCAGTGGATTGTCTCTTCTTTTGCCCCGCCATATGTCAAGGTAGAGTGTTTGGTTTCTAGTACTTCTAGTGTACTTTAATTTACTGATATAATTCACTTTCACATAAAACAAGTAATTTTTTTTATCTTAAATTCACAGAACACCTGGCACTGCTTTCAAGTAAACGTTGTAAATTTTCAATTCATATTTTATATTGAAATTATATTGTATATCTTTTTATCAATATACTATGACTTGTACTTTTTTTATTACTTGAAAATTTTATCACAGAAAGTGGTTATTTTGCACTTCTTTTCACACCATTATTTTACATTAGTACTATTTATATTTCTGAGATTTTTACACACTGTTCACTTGAACCTCACAGACCAAACTCATATTTAAGTTGCCCATGTGATATTTGTTTATGTCAGTATTGTCACTATAACTTTGAGCAGGGTGCAGACAGTACTAAAGATGTTTTCCGAGTCATGTATAAAGTTTTTGACTTCACCATCAAGTCGGGCAGTTTACCACCAGGAAAGAGTACTCAGGTAGACAAGGGTCAAAGGTCAAGCCTTTGTGTAACTGATAAAAATAGTAAATTTATGTTCAGTCATTCATTGTTTGGTATAAGAATCCTTAAAGAAGCAGTTTATTGTATTTTCCATTAATGTTCTTTTACATTCCTGTGACCAGAAATGTATTTATCGGAAAATGATGGGAGAATTATTTTGATTAATATACATGTAGGTAAATGTTGAGTTTATGCCAAGATCCAAAGGAACTTTCACACAACACTGGGATGTACAAAGTGCAAAGGATAAACCAGTTCGACTGCAACTCACAGGGGAGGTAACATACAAGAATTCTTGTTATTTATCAAATTATCATAAAGGTAGATTTATTATATTGTCCAAGAGAACATTTCAGAAAGTTGTAAATGTTATCTTTTTTGCAGAGCATTGCTAATGATGATGTGCCTGGTAGTCAGTTGTCGTCATACAGAGAGGACATGACAGAGAGGTTCCAGGAAACTGGACACAAAACTCATAAAAAGTATGATTTCTGGTGTTGAGATTCTGAAGTTAAAAAAAAAATTGGAGTCTGACAGTTTTCGATTTTATATGCATGAACAATGCAATGAAATAACTGTTGCCAAGAAAATCCTGCAAATATTTGTGAAGTTGTGTATATTGTGTGTATCAGTATTTATTATTTTGAATTGTTTATTTGGTATTGTCAGGATTAAGGATGATAGGCCTGTGATTCTGAAGAATGAGGAGCTGGGTTTCCTCCCCTGTTTAGTGGGTCAGTCCCAAGTGGCCAAGTTACAGATCGCCAACAACTCCACATCCCCCCAACCAGTAAGTCATCAGATAAACTGTGATATTGTAAGGTTTATATGTGATAATTGATATAATTCTTACATCACACTACTACATGTAGATAAGATATTGATCTGAATAGTTCTCTTGTCTAATCATACTTTCTGTGGTAATAAAATCACTAGAAAGTATGCATTTTCTTTGGTGGAGAATTTTCTAATGTTGACATGCAAACAGCAATAGATTATTTTGTCAACTTTAAATATTGTGTCGGGAGAAAAGGATTTTTTTTGTGGAACAATGAGATGCATTTAAGCCTATATTCAACTTAAATTGTGTCCATATAAAATGATGTCATGTTATATTCATATTTTTCCACAGATTGAGGTGATTCCCCCACAGCCACCATTCTATGTGAAGCATATGAGATTTGAAGTAAAGTAAGTGTGATCAGCATGTGTCATATATATGCTAAAAAATGTGTTTATGTATTATGAGTGCAGCTGTTAAGTATTCATTCCACTTAAATTTCCACTTGTTATAAAAGGAAAAATAACAAAAGAGAGGGAGGGATGGGGTACAGTCTCTTCCAGAGAATTTTATGTAAAATAACTTTTGTGTTTAAAATGCATTACCTTTGATGTATGCCTAAATTTGATACTGATAGTCAGTGTTATATGTATACCTGTTTATTTGTATAGGAGTAAGAAGTACCTTATGCTCCCTGTGGAATTTCGACCTTCAGAACCAAACAATTACGAGGGACTGATCGTGTTAAAAACTGGAATGGGATACAGTTTGAGTGGCAAGTTACTTGGTCAGTGTTCATCATAACAAACTCAACAAAGATATTAGCGGGAGATAAACAGAACAGCCGGTTATACATACATTGTGGGAATTTTTTAATGTGTTTTATAGAAAGGCTTTTGTCTCATTCTTCCATTGTAAAGTACCAATTTAATATACTTACATGTATATATATATATTTAAGAAGCTTTAAGATTGATGTAGATAATATTACATGGATTTGAATCATGGATTGCCAAGTTCATTTGCTAATTTGAATTATCCATTTTAGGAATATTTTTTCAGTACAATGAAATAAAAATGATATTGTGTAAATAACCTGTCAGAAAACAGGATCAACTGAACTTTGTATTACATGGTTTGTTGATGACCTGTGTATACATGTATATATCATTTAATATGATTGGTGTGGCAGCTTTCAATATGCTCTATTATTCAAATCTGTTCTCTGGTTTCTCATTTACTTCAGGTGCTGATTATTATAATCTACTTTGCATTTAACTATTTATCTAGAATTAGAAGCATAATCTTTTTTTTCAATTAATATTCTTTTTAAACTATTATTTTGTCAATGCTTTATCCTTTTGGTTGTAAATCTTAGGATATAAACATGTACATTGTATTTACACGTATCTTTTGATTTTCTTTATATATATATTTGATTACATTTTCTTGGACAAAATTACTTTCAAAATGCTTGATGTTTGTTTAAACATGAAAGCATGATAGTGATAGGTTCTGTGATAAACTTGGTGCTTCATAAGTGAAGGCATTTACATTTTCTAATTAAAATCCTAAAGAGAGAGAGGGAGTGAGTGAGAGAAAGAAAAAGAAAGATAGACAGAGGGAGGTATTGTGATACTAAATTTAATTTTTCTGAAAAGTCTCTGTCTAGCATTGTCTAATTTTTCAAGATATCTTAGTAAACCTTCATGTGTTCACAGATTGACATACCTCAGTGATATTCAGTATTTTATAGGGTAGAATCAGTAATATTTATAAAGGATATAATGATTTGATTTGAATAATACAGAAATTAATTGGACACCAGGCATTAGGTGTCTGTTTCAGCCATCCATCTCCGTGGTTACAGTAAATGAAATAGACAAGAAATGGAATAAGCAAGGGAAAGCAGAATTCTAGACTAACAGTAATATTTTTTTCTTAGCTAGTCCTTTCAAAGTATGAATGCATGAAAAACTAATGGATATGAAATGTGGAAACTTTTATGTTGATCTGAGATCTCTAAATGGTTAGTAATAAAGGACTTATTTATTATTATTTAAAAGTGAAGTGTAGTTAATGACACTATGTAGAACATGCTTGTATATTTATAAGGTTGAAAGATTGAAAATAAATAGAATTATGATTTGTCTGTTCTCCTTCATTATTCTAGAGGTGTTCAAACTGAAAAAGAGAAACAGTAAATATCTCCCTAATAGTCTTTGATGGGAATACTGAGTACTCCGTTATTGCATTTGATGTGATGATGTCTCTCCCAAAACATTATACACCCCCTTCCAAGAAAAAAAATACCTATTGTTGCTAACTTTATCTTCCAATTGCAAATTTTAAATTGACCTGATGTTAAGTATTGACCTTGACCCAGGGTCATTCCAGGAAGTTTTAGGTCAAAGGCAGAAAAAAATGCATCCAGTTCATGTCCATTCTTTAATTGATTCTAACATAAAGTTGATACTTGACAAAAATAATCATAATTTGAGAAATTTTGGCACTTAAAAAGTATCATTTTGATATATGTGGGAAAACACTGGAAGTTTATACTTCACATACTAATATTATGTCCTAAAGGTGTGTCCTGGCCTTGAACAAAAGTATTTTTCACAAGTTCAGTGTCATGGACAGAAAAAAAATGGTATCCAGTTTGTAACTTTCTCCTTGACAAGTATTGTACTTTGACACTTTTAACAAATATTACTTAAAGAGGAAGGTATGTCATAACTTGACTCAAGGTCAAGGTTATATTGGCAAGTTTAGGGGTAGGAAAAGTTTTTAAAAGATGTCAGTAATTTCAGAGAAAATTAGATGTCAGTAATTCATTAAAAGATCGCTGATGATGACCAAAGATTTTTTTTTAAACCAAGGCCTTTCTAGCAAGTTCAAGGTCACATTAAGATAATTATACATGGTTTCATTTCACAAAATTGCAGCAGGGCTATTTAAAAAAAAGTTATTGCTTTCTAATGTCTGACTTTCTTTTTAACCTTCAGGAAACTTTTATTTTAAATCCAGAATTTAAAGGTTTTAATGATGGACCAGAACAGGTATCTGTAGTATATTTTTGTGAGATAGGTCACAGATCCTATTTTATTCTCTAAAACAAGGATAAATCATCACCAATATAGAAAAGTAACCTTTTATCATTTCAATTTTCTTCAAATCTCTCCTTTATGGACTGTGCAAGGCTACTTTGGGGCTCTACATATTTATAAAGGAGACAAGATGTGATGACTCGTCAGTTATAAGGTTTTTCCAGTGGGACCTCATGGTCTACAAGTCTTCTGTATATTCAAGATATATGTGGATTATCAAGGGTAAAATACTTAAATATTTAAAAAGAATAAGTGTTTGATACCTCCAAATCTAAACATATCCATGGTACATTGTATTTGAGATATCGGTGTTTGAGACAGCCAAGTTCAACTATAGTAAGAAATATGAATATTAAATTAATATCTATAATGTTTTGTTCTGGTATGATTTTCAAACCTTATTTTAGTGCTTGTCAATTTTGTCAACATCATATTAGAGATTTATCTAATGATTTGAATTTTTTTAGTGCTACTGGATATTAAAACAGCAAACAGATGCTGTAACAAAAAAAACAACACTTTTTCATACATATTTATTTGTTTTTTGCTTTCAAAACTTCTATATATAATTATTGTAACACAAAAATTGACATTTAACATGTATATCTCATGAACATAACTCTGTCAAAAAAGGGCAGAATTTAATACAAAACTTGCTGTAAATATGCATTTTCTCTAAATAAAATTACAATACAAAAGATATATCAATCTCAGTTTCATAAAAAGTACTTTGTTATTAAATGCAAGTGAAAGTTGAGGTAACCCATTCAAGAATAATTCCGCGCCCCCACCAAAGAAGAGGGGCATATTGTTTAAAAACAAAGTTAGTAAATATCTCAATCTATATTATCTGACCAGTGGCCAGTACTGAGAAAAGGTTTTACATCAAAACCAGCATTAAACATAGGAAATTTGGATATTACTACACTAACCTTGATCATTTTCAAATAAGTAGGCCAAAGGTCATACATATCAAAGAAAGGTTCAAAATGTTTCATAAATGGCTGGCAGGATCTAGAACATTGATGAAGTATGATTCCAAATGTTTTTAGTTGATACAAATTTAGAAATATTAAGATTCTTTTAATAGTTAGCATAAAAAAAACGAGTCATTTTTCTTATCACTTTGATTTTTTAAATGAAATTGGTAGAAAATAATTTATTTTAAAGGAAGTTTCATAAACAGTGGTGGAAGCGCCATGACTCTTTAGTATTTCATCTTCGCTAGCAAAGATGAAGTATTTCAACATACAATAGTGTGTCACACATAATGTGACATTAAGTACATTGTACATTAAAAAAAAATTAATAATCAAGGACTCTCTGTTGGAAATGTGGGCAGATACAATAGATATCAGAAAATGACATCACAGCAGGAAGAATGGGACAATGTACAGTATGTGTATGCATGGGGGGGGGGGTCACACAAAAACTATGACTAAATAAAATATGGCTGTTTGAAATGATTATCTGACAACAGCAAATCTAAATAAAAGAAGTAAACTAAATATGGCAGGCTTCAAATTAATTACAAACACAAAATGTATATCCCAACAGTTACACTAAGTGTACATCACAGATCTAGAAGCTGTTAACATCAAAACACAACACAAAATAAATAGGACTCTTGTAATAAACAATTCAAAAAGATGCACACTACAGACTTTAGTTAAAACTAAGATTCACAAAGGCACTAGTTAAATAAAATAATAAACTTGCCTATTTTATTTGTTTCATGAGCACATTTTTATTCTTACAAAAACATATTTAAAATGAAAGCTTTCTTTAATCTCATCAACATATAAACTTAATATTAATCAACATTTTGAAGCTTCAAAAGAGAATTCAAGGATAATGAGAATCTACTCAGAGATAAACAGATCAGTTTTATCTGTGGCAACTGAAGGAGGAGTCACAACTGAAGCAGCAGATGGAACCAAGAAAGAGGCAATATATAGCAATATAAACATGATAAAAGGACAACAAGCATGTTAATGTGATTAGCTGAGACAAGGGATATGTACATGGTAAATGAGATGCACCATTAACAGTTACTGTGGAATGTTTGCAGTAGCATGCGATACATTTCCTAACTCGCCTTGACCTTATGAAAAATTCCATCAAGCACATTAATTATCATTATTTATAGAAATAAAACCTTATATATATCAAACGCCATTATTGATTATTATTCTGCTATAAAGTTTGACCAATGAATGTTTACTTGATGTTTTTTCCCCAAGGGGATGTTATTCCAAATTGATACTTTTAATTAAATGATAACACTTAAATGAATCAACAACCATCAATATCTATTGCACTTTGTAAATGTTCAAGAAACAATAAAAGATTACATGATAGGGATAGTTCAAATACATCAATATTTCACAGGGTGGATATCTAAATACAAAGATTGTTTCAAAATACAAAATAAATGGAGGTTGTAGGCTGCATTGTTGTTTGTGCACAATTTACAAAAAAAAAAATACAGATTTGTATGTGGCACTGATAAAAAATAATGTAAAGCAGAACAATATCAATTATTCATTTTGTTTAACTGTGGCACCTTATGTCACTAAAGAAAAACTAGTGCATTTCTTTTTTAATATGAGTGCTTGTACCAATATATTCAATACTGGACACATTTACTAACAGGTAGGATAACACTGGACAAAACAATGCCATAGAAAAAAATCTGTATACAGATTTCACAAAAATACAATAATAATCTTTCTGAACAATTAGGATCTAATTTGAAGGGGGCGTGTCCGAGTGCTCCTGTTTAGGAAGAGTCTCTGGAGGAGGCGGGGCTTTCTCTTTCTCATCCACTTGATTGATGTCTGCTATCACGTCAATCTTACTGACGACAGGACGCTGAGTCTGTGATCTGTTAAGGTCTATTCCATGTTTGACAAGCAGGCCTTTTAACAGTTCTATCTCTTGTTCCTGTGTAGTACAGTACTCTCTGTATTTAGCCAGTTCTTTTTCACATGCCAGACGTAATCGTTTCTCTCTCTGAATCTTCTTTTCTGCTTGTTTTTTAACTGACACAACAATGCCTGTAAAGAAATAAAAATCAAATATGGTCATTGGAAATTTCAAGAAAATTTAAATACAAATTTGAAAAAAAAAATGACTGCAAAGTAAATCTTAAATTTGCTTTAACTTTCATGAAACAAACAATAAAGACTTGCCATTCAATATCCTAGTCACTCTCCACAATCGCAGAACAACTAAGAGTCCCGCACCACTTTCAGGCCCCTCCTTGTTGCGGAAGATAATATCGAGCACAAAAGACACCACCACCACAAACGCATCAAACAACTCCATCTTATGGCGAAAAAAACTCAATCTATAAGCATAAATTTTGACAAAAATCTCTACGATGAACACACTAAGTATGGCAAGACTAGAGTAGTGCAAGATCTTAGGAGCCAGATCACTCCCCTCCTTGTGCTCAGAAACTTGAATGATATTCATGTCAAGGAGGAGCTCCGCAATCACCAGGAGGGAATCAAGAACCACCAGGGCAACAACGATAATGTTAAACTTGTTTGTGTGAAGTATGTAGACTAGACGTTCCCGCATATTTCGAAACTCCATCTTTTCATCTGAGTCTGTTGTGATTGAACTGTTCGAGTCTTCTTTTTCAATGACTTTCTCCAGATCATCTTGAAGCTTTTGAAAACCCTCCATCTGAATCTATATAACGGTAAAAACATATGATAAAAATTTACAAAATGAAATATGGTAAATAATAACATCATAATGTGGTATAGACCTATTAGAAAAAATATATATAAATTTTCATCATCATAAACAGGTCACAAAAAATTAAAATCTGCACGTGAGGTTACACCCCCTTCTTAGTTTGCATACATATAGTGATATTTTCCTCATCACTTACCTTCATATCTGTAGTAATTATTCACAAATTAACAGAATTACCAGGATGACAATGTTACCCAAAGCAAAATAGGCAAGGTACAGTTGATAACCATCAATATTGTTTATTTACAACAAAGAGCAATATTGTGGTCTCTCAATTCTCGATCTGTACGAGAGCTTGACGAGATCAAGGAAACTAAGATCCAAAGTAGGGGCCTAATCTGTTTCCGGATTAATCAGGTGCCCCACCCCCTCCCTGAAAAAAAAGTTATTTGTGACTCAATACAACTGTAGAAAAACAAACAAATATGAAAGATTCTCCACTTTAAATCCCGCCGATTCGGCTTTGGTCCTCAGCAGGTCCAGGTCAATGCCCTTTGGAGGGCCAGAAGCGACCCCCCACTCCCCCGAAAAGGTTTTTATCAATTTTAAAGTTTTTAAAAAATTATTTTTAATATAGACCTCAACGTCTAAATTGAAGTAAATTCGCAGTATATTTAGTCATATATGATAATCTCTTTAGAGAGGTGGACAGACTTTCGCCTACAGAATCACAACATGAAGGCTTGCGAGGAGAAATGGATGTAGGCGAAAGCCTGTCCACTTCTCTAAAGATGTAGAATAGGTTATATGAACGGCATGAGTAAAAAAAATGTCTTTTTATGAATGTATTTCAACCAATCAAATGAAAAAAGATTAGTTCAATAATGTAAGTGAAACATCTGATCAACATTTTATTTTATTTATAGAAAAATTAAAGTTAATGCATGCATGGGAGTGGGCAGAAGCCAAAGTCTATTTCAGCCCTCACCCTCATCTGATCAGCAACCTCTGAAATTTATTATACAGAAGGACAAGATACGTGTTCTTTACGTTTGAAGTTGTATTTTTAATTGTTTTTAAGAGACCAAATATGTTAGAGAGGCATTTTAAATGGTTGATAGACGATTAGACCTTGGTCAATTATTGCATGGTGGTTTTCACTTTGTGACAGCAGAAAGATTGAAGATATCACATCGATTCAATTTACTTATTGCTCAAGCATCAAATCAATTCTTATCGACTGACAATGATACACGCATCAAATGAATTGATGTAAACATCAAATGAATTAATTAAACAAGAAAGGGGAAATCTGTACATAGTCTATATGTTCCTCCTCAAGTTGTCAATACATGGACAAATTGTTTCACATAATTGGAGAGGTTTGTGGTCTCAGATTGACAATAGAACAAAATGTTTATACACTGGTGTCAATTTTTAGGTCAAAATATTTTTATTTATGAAGGGTTACACTTTTAAAAATACCGAAATTTCCTATTTCACGAAAGAATGTGTTCTTTATATAACAAGCAAACACATTGACGTGTTAAAACCACATCCAATACTGTGCCAAAGAATTTAATTATTAAACCTTATCAAATTAAATGATGGCTTACTAATCCTTCTATTATTCAAGTTTATATACATGTAAATTCCCTTCTGTCAAAACAGGTTGACCATTGTATTTTAACTAAATTATTTTCATTAAATTGGTTTCATGAATTATAGCTAGAAATCCATTATTTATTTAGCCTACATCCTTACGTATATTTCCATAAGTTTGTTTTATATTGTTCAGTTGTTTCCTCTTTGTATGCGTGTCTTTGGCAATGTATACTTTCGACTACATTTAATAAAATACTTATGCAAAGTATTTATAGACGTACAACACACTGGGGGAGATAACTCTTGCGATTTCAATTGAACGTTTGACGTGACGTCAAGTTTAACGTAAATAATAAAGCGTCAAAACAACGAGTAAAACGATCCCGATGTATATCAATCGTGAAAGAAAATTGGGATATGGGGCTTGGCTGTGATTGTGCGTACCATACTCAATCAATAAGTATTTTTTAATTAACCCGATTAAACTCCGTAAAAAGCAAGACATAAAATTCCATCCCTTAATGTTTATTTCATTTCATTTCATATACAATAAATTGTATTTTTGATCAAAGCGCAGCAATTTTTTTTATTCTGAAAATTTTATTTTACATTGCCGAAATTCTCTTTATGTACAATTGGCTATATAACATTCCGATTAATGGTCTTCATTACAATTTGTACATTTACGATATAAATATTGTTTTTCTTCTTTAATTAAATAAAACAACAATAAATAAACAAAAAAAAACTTTTTACAATGTAAAATCGATGTTGTTCTCAGACCCTTACTGATCAAAGAGGAACAACTCTGAAACTGTAGGCGATGTTTATTTTCCTCCCTTTATTCACGGTTTTCCACAGAATCAGATACATTTACAGCAAGACCTGATAAATCCGAGAATTGAATACTAAAGACCTCATATACACAATGTAAGTATAGAATTGAAAAGAATTGTTCACTTGTACTGAAATTATCTGCATTTATGAATATCCTATTGCAGCAAATCGTTTGACTTTCTGTCAACAATGTCGGTTCGCATTTCCTCGAATCAAAACAAAACGTAGCCTATAAGATTTTAAAAAATATCAAAGTGCGATTTGATATAAATTGAAATAGATGAAGAGTTTAATGTTTGATATTTTGAAGTTAATGTGGACGAATACGGAATTTTCATTTTAACTTTAGAAGCGACGACATTGAAAGAAATGCGTACAATATCTTGAAGGGTGTACATCTATGCAAATGTCGAAGTATCCCCACGGCCACATACTGTCTCGTTTGAAATAATGACATGAAAGAAACTACAATTATTCCATTTATATCACAGGAGAGTTGAACATACACCATTTTTTTAATGAATAAAATTAAAGAAATAAAATTAAAAATCAACATATTCAAGTTCAACAAAGCTTGAATTCGTATCCAGGTTTCATGTGATATGGAATGCATAACGCATACATATATGGACTGAACACTAAAATCTTTCAGTAATTTTTTTCCTGATACATATAAAAAGAGTAGTCAATATTTATTCTGCATTCCTGAATTTAAAAACTAATGCATACCTCCGGGATTCAAATGACGAAATACCAGTATATTTGCACTATAAACGACGTTTCGTCAAACGCTAATGGTCTGCGACGCAAAAAAAGAAAGGGGTGGGGGTGATAGGGGTATTCAAAAATTGCTTAAAATCTATATTTAAATACGCTTTACATATGAGAACTTTTAAATTTGTAAGTTAATATATTTTTGAAGCAAAAGCAATATTCCAATTTATTTTTTTTTAATGTGTATTTGTAGATTCATATAACAAAGTGATCGACCCCCGTCTGAGAGACGCGCGGGAACGTGATTTATTGAGAAAGGGGGAGGGGGTAATTTTCCGCTATTAAATCAAAACTGGTCGTACAAAAATTATACAAAAAATTATGAAGATTATTTTTACTACCACCTACCTAAGGAAAGTTTTTTACCAAAATTAAACGACAGGTTTTTTCACAAAAAATTTTGAATTTGAAAAATACGCAATTTTCAAGGCTTAGATAACTCATAGTTTTTCAGTTTAAGGTCTTTAAAAATTATTTTGATGATATGCATATCAAAAGGATGACTATGTTTTTGTGTTAAATGGTTAAAGGAATAAGCCAATGAAATTTGACATTTATATCTAACCTGGCTGTTTTGAAAATCAAGATTTAAGTAGTTCATTGATTAAAAATTTTCTCTCCTTGTATACAACTAAAGGGGGGTAACTTTTGGAAGTTTCTGTCCAAAAACCACTCGAACGATTTTGTCCAAAATGTGCATACATGCAGTAGATATAGTCATGTACTAAATATACAAAAATAACGAAAATTAAACGACAGGAATTTTTTGGGGTAGGTGTGTTGTACATCCTTATGTAATTTTTTTTTATCAAAAATGATTTTATGAAAAAAAAGCTGACTATCGATAGACACCATGTAAAGTTAAATTTTACGCTCGCTCTCTCTCTCTCTCTCCAAACCCCAACGCATTTTTGTGTGTATGTTTAATACTGGAGTCATAGGCTAGTAATTGTTGCTCGAATTTGTTCTATGGACATATTCAGCAATTTCACTTTCTTGGAAATTGTTTTCTTGGGTTTAAAACCTGTGAAATTTTACAGTACTTCAACAATAAACTCTTGCATCCCAAGCATCTATATGTGGTATTCCTACTACAACTGTTTCAGACTCCAATAAATGCAGTGTGTGTACATATGTTAACACTTTTTGTTCTACAAAGTTTGTTTTTCATTTGCATATATTTTTTGTTCATTTTTTGTTTATTCTTGTTTGAATTCCATTTAGTTTTGTTTTATTTTTCTTCATTTATTTTTGTTCCAGCCTATTACTTGCACACTATATATCATTTTATTATTATCCTCCAGTTACATGTAGCTAGAGATGTCAGTTCAAATGTTTTTTCATTGATTAGCAACAAATACCAAAAATGTGAACAATATCCTGTTTACTATTTCAAAATCTTTAATATCTCAAATAATCACTTTAATATCATTGTGATTACAATATTACTAATATGTGGATGTGTGGAAACAAACCCAGGTCCAACAGATTATAAAAAACATATAAGTATTGTACACAACAATGTATGTAGTTTACTTCCAAAACTTGATATTATTAGAAATGAATTATCAGGAAATGATATAATTGCCATTACTGAAACTCACTAAGATCAGAGTATTGACAATAGTAATCTTTCACTGGATGGTTATTATCAACCAGTTAGAAAAGACAGAAATAGATATGGTGGAGGCGTTGCATTGTACATTTCAACTAGATTAAATTTTAAAATTAGAAATGATTTAAATTTTTCTGATATTGAAATTTTATGGGCAGAGATCCAGTCACAAATTGGAACTTGCATAGACCTAGTGTTAACTAATGATCCACCCAAAGTAAAGAGTGTTGAAGTCGACGAACCCATTTGTAGTTCTCATTCACCTGTCTCTATAGAAATTTCATTTCAAACATATAAGCAACATGCCTTCAAACGCACAATTAGAAATTATAATAATGCAAATTATCAAGGCCTAAACAATGACTTACAAAATGTTAATTGGGATGAAAAAGCGTTTACCTCTAATAATATGAATGAAGTCTATCAAAATTTTACATGCACTTACCTAACCTTAGTAGATAAACATATACCAAAAAAGGAAATTACCATACGTCCATCAGATAAACCATATATTACCACAGA